CACTTTAACATATTCTACAAATGAGATCAATGACCATGAATTCACCAGTGCAAATAAGTCAAAATAGTTTGTTATATATAAACAAAACACCACGTTCTTTACTCTTATAACACAAACATACATGATAACATTTGTTTCAGTCAGTACAAAGAACCGATACATGTTTTGGTCGTACTTTGTTACTTTATCAACATCACTGATGCATATTTCGACATTTCTGTACCTTTTTTTATAGGGTCGATCGGGTAGCCTAGTGGTTAAAGCGTTCGCTCGTCACGCCGAAGACCCGGGTTCGATTCCCGACATGGGTACAATGTGTGAAGCCCATTTCAGGTGACCCCCGCCGTGATAGTGCTGCAATATTGCTTAAAGCGGCGTAAAACCATACTCACTCACTCACTCACTCACTCACTCACTGTCACATAAATATATGACAATCTGCCTGTCAAGAGCAATATTACAATAAAACGTATCAAGTTAGAGAGTGAATTTAACCTCAAGTCACGTTGTCAATATTTCAGTAACAGTGTGACTTAAACAAGTTATACAATATTGTATTTTTAAAATGTCGGCAAATGACAATATAATAACTTGAAAGATATCACAGATTGACTTAAAACTAGTTGTAGAACATTAAAAACCGATTTATTGCCAACAATACGATATAGGTCGCGATCAACAAATGTAAGGTCACCATACTTGGGACCAAGGGGACTTACGGTACCTCTGCTACCTGCATGGTTCCCCAGCATGATTTACACCTTTCCCTTACTTACTGTCGATTTTTAGCTAAGCCCGAGATTAAGAGTTAACAAATATTCTGAAATCAAAATGGAGGTAGATATCGGCGGTCGGAGGATGCCAAACATGGTTGCTAGGTCGGAGGATGCCAAACATAGTTGCTAGGTCGGAGGATGCCAAACATGGCGGACAAACAAATGAATATTCTTCATCACTGATGATGAGGAGGATTTGGAAGATTTTACGTACGCTTTCCGACATTAAGCATATTTCGCACATGGACCAGTCAGGCCATTTAGTGTGGTTTGCCAAAAATGAGAGGAAGGCTTCGTCCGAGGGGGCGTTTGGGTTGCATATTTAGAGTTTGAAGAATTTGGAATTTGAAATTTTTGCGGAGGTGGAGGAAAATATCTCTGTCATTTCTGGCTCACACGTCCTGTTGATCAAGCAAAAGCATGCTGGTTATTTCTCGCTGTTTTCACGCACTTAACACACTTCACAGGCATTACTACAGTAAACTACGGTTATAACGAACTCAAAGGGACCCCTAATTTTAGTTCGTTATAACCGTAGTTCGTTATATGCATATATACAGCATAACTACAGCAGATTTTAGTGACTAAAAAGAAGGTTCGTTATATCTGCCAGTTCGTTATAAGAGTGTTCGTTATAAACGTAGTTGACTGTACTCACGAATGGATTAGGTTTCCAATAAAAAAAAAGGTTTACTCATTACGATAAACGTTTATTCAGATTGGTACATCGGTCTGTAGAGAGATCGTAAGTAAATTGCAATGGTTAAAACAACACGTGATCACTAATGCAAGATATTCATTGTAAAAACAACATCTATCATGTATATTCTGTACATGTCCTGCTCACATTGGATATTTATTTGTTATTAACAACAACATCTATCATGTATATTATGTACATGTCCTGCTCACATTGGATATTTATTTGTTATTAACAACAACATCTATCATGTATATTCTGTACATGTCCTGCTCACATTGGATATTTATTTGTTATTAACAACAACATCTATCATGTATATTCTGTACATGTCCTGCTCACATTGGATATTTATTTGTTATTAACAACAACATCTGTCATGTATATTCTGTACATGTCCTGCTCACATTGGTTATTTATTTGTTATTAACAACAACATCTATCATGTATATTCTGTACATGTCCTGCTCACATTGGATATTTATTTGTTATTAACAACAACATCTATCATGTATATTCTGTACATGTCCTGCTCACATTGGATATTTATTTGTTATTAACAACAACATCTGTCATGTATGTTCTGTACATGTCCTGCTCACATTGTATATTTATTTGTTATTAACAACAACATCTATCATGTATATTCTGTACATGTCCTGCTCACATTGGATATTTATTTGTTATTAACAACAACATCTATCATGTCTATTCTGTACATGTCCTGCTCACATTGGATATTTATTTGTTATTAACAACAACATCTCTCATGTATATTCTGTACATGTCCTGCTCACATTGGATATTTATTTGTTATTAACAACAACATCTACCATGTATATTCTGTACATGTCCTGCTCACATTGGATATTTATTTGTTATTAACAACAACATCTACCATGTATATTCTGTACATGTCCTGCTCACATTGGATATTTATTTGTTATTAACAACAACATCTATCATGTATATTTTGTACATGTCCTGCTCACATTGGATATTTATTTGTTATTAACAACAACATCTGTCATGTATATTCTGTACATGTCCTGCTCACATTGGATATTTATTTGTTATTAACAACAACATCTCTCATGTATATTCTGTACATGTCCTGCTCACATTGGATATTTATTTGTTATTAACAACAACATCTACCATGTATATTCTGTACATGTCCTGCTCACATTGGATATTTATTTGTTATTAACAACAACATCTACCATGTATATTCTGTACATGTCCTGCTCACATTGGATATTTATTTGTTATTAACAACAACATCTATCATGTCTATTCTGTACATGTCCTGCTCACATTGGCCGTTTTGACTGACTTTTGAGGCCGTTTTGACTATAACCCTGTATTCACGGGTGATGAGGAAACGTATTGAGTACAAACCTTTGAGCGAGTGAATTTGGTTTCACGCCGCAATATTTCAGCAATATCATGGTGGGGGACACCAGAAATGAGCTTCACACATTGTAACCATGTCGGGAATCGAACCCGGGTCTTCGGCGTGATGAGCGAACGCTTTAACCACAAGGCTACCCGACAGCCCCACAAATCTATGAAGTATCCAAAATGTAAACATTTGGCAACATATGAAATGGCTTTTAAATCAATGTGTATATTTCAGTAAAAGAAAGTTTAAAAACACCCAAAAGGTGAGTTTCTGTATCCGTGGGACGCTGATGTTATCATGCTCTACAAACCAAACATTTCAGTGTCATAAGTCCCAAACCTACACGTCTACACAAGTGTGCCATTTCTATAGATATATTTCAGATATTCCATATTTCGGTAATATTCATAGTCGATGGTGTTGTTCTGTTTGTCTTCATTCATGGCTCTTTCTCTCAGCCACTCCTCTATGCATTCAAATGTTCGTGGCTGATAATTGATGTAGAACTTGTTGGCAAACAGTTCCATGCGTGACGTCAACAGACGGAGATCGCCTACACCAAATATGCAGATATCCCTCACGCGCTTTCCTTTACAGGGCCAATTCATAATACCGTCTCCCCAAGCAGCTCCCCAATTCTTGAACCGAGCAATGTAGGGTTTCCGTGTATTCGTTTGTATATGTACTGGGAAGAAAAGAAACATAAAATAAAAACATGTGTGCATTGCATGCAAAGGAAAGGACGCAGAACCATCCTTGCCTTACGCAGGATTCCTAAAACTCGTTCGAATGACACGTTGTCATGACATGCACAGCCCACTCAGCTCATCTCAATTCCAAAGAACAACGTAATTTGGTCGTGAACCAAACACAATTGTTCCATTATTTCCCGGTTTCATTTGTTTTCAGCTAAAGGTGTATATCCTATCTGTACAGCCAAGAACAGCCTGCTTTCAAAAACGGTAGTCAATTTACGGACCAACTATTTAATGTTCTGAGGTGGGGAGGGGTAGATGGGCTGGGACTTGTGTGGAGATAAAGATAAACCCAACCCTACCCCAGAGAAATAAAATGGTAGGACCGTTATACGATCTGAATTCGGGGATCTGGCGTTACAACGTTTACAGTGAACGCCTGCAATAACACTACTCCATTGCTTCCCCAGATATGACGAAGTTGGCGCAATAAGCCAATAGGTGGAACACCAAAGCAGCCATACTGGAAATAATGACTTTGTTTTTCCATTGTTGGATTTAAAATGTTATTTTCAAGACAGGAACGTTTGATGGGTAGCTATTCCACTGAGCCAAGTGAATTTATATCACTTCCATGAATGGTCTGTAAAACGTACAGAAAGCAGCGCAGTGATACTGTATAGGTGAGGTGAAATTGGGTTTAACGTCGCGTCCAAGATTATTGCACTTATATAGTGACGTGCATGCACTTGTATGTGTGTGTGTGGCTGCTTGTACTAGTCCGGACTGATGCCGATTTATAGTGCTAGCTCACTGAGATACCATGCCGCAGTTTAACATGAATACCCCACTCAGACACAGTATACTGACTCCGAGCCGACCAGTCCTTGTTTTAGCCCCTTAATGCCGAGCGCCAGACAGGGTAAGGTAACAACAAGTACAATCTTTTAACGTCTTTTTGTATGACGCGGCCCGGGATCGAACCCTGGACCTTCCGCTCTCCGGGCGGACGCTCTACCACAAGACCACGGAGGCGGTCGATACTGTATAGAATGACGATCTCACAGAATAAGGGATGCGGGATAGCCTAGTGTTAAAGCGTTCGCTCGTCACGCCAAAGGCCCGGGGTCGATTCCCCATATGTGTACAATATGAGAAACCCATTTCTGGTGTCCCCCGCCGTGATATTGCTTGAAAATTGCTAAAAGCGGCGTCAAACCATACCTATTCTCTCACCTAATACTGGTCTGAAAGAATACTCGTCATGAATTCAGTGAGTGTCAATAAGCCACCACAACATCCATGTTGCAAATGTCACGTTTGGTATTTATGTTATCATGTTACATATATGTTGTTGTTTTCCCATCTCAAGAAGCGTAATCCTGACACAGGATACCGGCGAAGAACATTATTTACCCACTCACTCACCCACTGACTGTGTACATGGAGGCGATTGTCGTCTTACCTAAGGCTGAGCCTGGCACCTTGAGGTGCGGGTTGTGATTAAGAGAAGGGAAAAATGTTTCGTCCGGGACCACTGCGTTTTTCACCCACTTTGCAAAGTCTTTTGCGATTGGGTTGTTCATGATGTAGTCCACAAATCCCCTACACGCCACGATATGAGTGTTGCCCTTGTAAGTACGTATTTTATGAGGCGGATTCCCCAAGTGCTTCCATAGTTTTTTCCACTTCCTACAAAACAAACAGAAACAATATATACATTCTTCAATTAATCGGTCTTGTCCAACTGAATTTTTAGGCTTGCCTTTATAAAACCAATATATTGCTTTGGCCTTGTCTTTGTGAAAATGTATAACTATATACTAAGGGGAAAAAGTAACTTTGCTATAAAGTGGTGTAAATGTTATGATATTGAAATAACAACATAGTATTTGGTCATTCTTTTGATGAGTGTTTTATCAAGATAAATTCATTAATAAAACGGATGCCTGGTAACATGAGACAGAACATCTTGTTCCAATTTTGGAATCGACTTGCAACACCTGTTATGATAAATATAGGTTACTGGAGACCAATTCTTCCTTGGATTTTCTTGGGTCGTCTCAGTAAAACGTGTAGACGGTTACATCAATATATTAAATTGGTCTTGTCTCAGAAGAATATACACAGAAACAAATCCAATTGGCTTTTCTTTAATAAGTATAAAATTTAATAGAAATACATGAATGATTTCTTGCCCGAATGAAAAACTTCAGTAAGACGGTAAATGGAAAGAAATTAAATTAAGTAGAGCTATACTTTCCTTCCTTGGGTTTAAATAAAAAGAGAATATGCTTACTTGTTCGTGGTAGCATCTATACTGTTTGCACCATTCAGGATCTTCAGAATTCGGACAATCTCCAGATTCGTCTTGAGGGGATATTCCTGTCCTGTCAAATTGATGAAATATTTCCACCCAGGCCGTTGTAGCAAGTCCTTCATACACGCCATTTCCGCCTCTAAGACAGAGTATCCAGCCCACTCTACTTTCATCTGTCTCGATGACAGGAATACGTTAGGGAAGCACCTCACAATGCTCATTATCTGAAGCTTTACCTTGAAGTGCGCCTTCCGGTCTACGTGGATGCAGTAGAAATTGGAAGGTCTGTAAATAGCTCTGAGCAGTCGCTCCACCTGCTCCACGTCCTTGAACATTAGTATATTGTAGGCAAGTGGGAACCCAATCTCTTCACTGGTTACGTTTAGTATATATCCTCGATCTCGGAGAAAATTATGGCAGTTTCGCGTCACCAATTGGTAATCAGTCTTTGGCCTATATGGATACTTATAGGTAAAGATCTGTGTTTTCATTTCATTGTATTCCGCGTCTTTTCCTGAAATCAAAGCTTTGCAAGATGGCTTTGAGATGAGCATTGTTAATCCTACTGTGTTGTGTGAAATTGCCCCTTCAGGAAGTTGACCTTCTTCAATAGATCTATTATTAGATACATCACAGTTTAAAATGTTCGATCGTGTTCTTTCAAGAGATCTTTTCATGGTCATTTTTCCTTTGGCATCCATTTTATGAGGAACTGGTATCTTTTCTTTTGGGGGAACCACGGCTGACTCCATGAAGAGACAAATGATGATCACAGTCGTTGTGAGCAGGAAGAAAATGACTCTAATTGCACACATGAGTTCCATCGTATTATTTCTGCAACATTAAAGTATTTATACAGATGGACATTACATAAACAAACATTCTTTGTAAACATAGATTCCCTGTTTATCATCCCCCACCTCGAAGTGTGATAGGGGATATATACTTTCCAAAAGTAGGGGGTTATGAAATATAAATGTTAATAGTATTAGAACATTGACAAGTGTTGACGACAAACATCCTGAGAACGTCTATGTCTTTCAACCTTAACACCAAAACACATCCCATAGTTTGCACGTGCCTGACGCAGTAGCACCACAAATGCGAAGGGTATCATTCCTGGTTTTGACACTTTCAAGGAAGGTCGATTTATCTCTGTGGATCTTATTGACTCTAATTACCATACATTAACTTCATTTCATTCATTGTTTGTGTATGAACTAGCGATGCTGCGTCTGCAATGCGCAGAGCGTCTGTGGGCAATGGGCATGCTGGAAACTGGCAGAAGTCAGCCTGCAGTGACCACTAGGTTCAATGTTTCGCAGTGTTTGATTAGCAGACAAACAAGCCCAAAATGTTGACGACCGAACACGTTCAGGGCGTCCCAGAACAACGACAAGAGTTCAGGATCGGTTGAACCAAAACCAGGCTCTCCGAAATATGTCTCAAACGACCAATCAATTTCCTGCAAATTTTCACCAGTCCACTTGATTACGAGTTACGGGTAAGGGGAATAGAAATCGTCTACATGCAGCTCATCTGTGTGTTCGATGCCTGGTGTTGTGCAGCCCCCGCATCATGTTGCCAACATTCGTCAATGGTGAACACCACGTCGAAACTAGGGTAATCGTCGCTGGTCACATGTCATGTTTTCATTTTTAATTCCTTGATCGTGGTTGTGTCTGGCGACGTCGAAATGAACATTAAGCCAAATTCAACCTTGAACCTCATACAATTTGGGGGTAGATCAGTTATGGTGTGGGGTTGCATCACTATGATTGAGCGAATCCCACTCCATATTGTGCATGGAGGTCACTGGACAGTACTATCGGGTTAACATATTGACACCAGTTGTTGTCCCGTTTGTATGGCGTGTGGGTCAACGTTTTGTCTTTCAGGACGACTACGCCCGCAGCGACCGTGCACAAATCATCAGTGCCTACCTCCAACAGCAAAACATCCATGTAATGTCATGGCTCGCAATGAGTCGAGACCTTTCCTCCACTGAACACGTCTGAGACACTACAGGGAGAACGCGTTGGCTTAACTTGGCCAGGCGCTGCAAGAGGAGTGAGACTCCCTATGCTGAGACATTTTTTCGAGGATTTGTTTATTCACCAAACCCGTGTACGTTGGCTTGTGATGCACACCTATTTTTCCAATAAACTGAAACCGCTTGTTGGGTCAGAGCAGGGGCGTGTTGTGGACCTGTGCTGAACTGGGTACCCAATGGTTACAGTAATTATAAACACTACTACTTACCCTCGTTACCCTCGTTATCCTCATGCACCATCACACGCCCTGTCACTGCAGTCGTTACATAACTGGTTGCATAACTGGCGTATTCCACGTTCAATACTTTTATGACAACAACGACACACTGAAACAGATGTGCCCCTATTCTTATGTACGACTTCATCAATAATTAGATGAACCTCTGAACCGTTTACAAATGTTACCTATTCAGCTATTGTGCTTTTGAATAATAGTTTCATTTCTGCCCACGGGACTGATCCCCAGAGGCGTTACATAACATACAAATAATTGCTCTCCACGCGGTCGCATATTGACGTCGTCATTATTTGTTTTGTTGTACCGAAATGCCATCTTGTTTCTAGCAGACGAGTCAATATTCACCACGTGACATAGCGACGTGCATGCAAGTTTGAGCGTTACTACTTTTACTGAACCTCACTGATGCCGGTTTTCTAGTGCTAACCCACACCCTGGCCGCGTCGTACCAAAAGACGTTAAAAGATGGTACTTGTTGTTACCCTGTCTGGCGCTCGGCATTAAGGGGCTAAAACAAGGACTGGTCGGCTCGAAGTCAGTATACTGTGTCTGAGTGGGGTATTCATGTTAAACTGCGGCATGGTATCTCTGTGAGCTAGCACTTTAAATCGGCATCAGTCCGGACTAATACAAGCAGCCACACAAACACACACACGTACATGCACGTCGCTATATAAGTGCAATAATCTTGGACGCGACGTTAATCCCCATTTCACCACCACCGCTAACCCACAGCTGTTCTATCCACAAGACAATGGTACGTGGTCAGTACCCTTACCCATATGTTTACAAAATATCCACCAGTATCTTTATAGGTGCCACTTTCTGGGTCCACTTGCACAAAGCGATCTTAGCGCTAAGACTATTGTAAGCCTATGTTAAAGTATGGGAGTTAAGATCATCTTAGCGCTAAGATCGCTTTGTGCAAGTGGACCCTGATCTCAAACTATCATAATCCATTGCAGTACCTCTGTGCAGAGACAAAGGGTATATTCGCTACGGCTTCTCCCAGATTACAGAGATGGGCTATCATCAAATCTGCATATCACTACTCCTTCAAGTACACACCATTCAGTTCATAAATGATGTTAGATTTAGCGTAAATAGTGATGTTTGATAAGCCCCCACCCCCACCCCCACCCCCACCCCCACCCCAGACCCGGTTATAATATGGATATCCGTCCAGAAGGCTCATCTTGGTATGCCGACAAAGACTGGTGAAATGGAGCGGAATTAGTATTGAACTTATTACTTTGTGTGCTCGAAGAGGATACATCGGTATCCGTTTTGATGTTTGGAGACTTTAACAGCAGAACTGTCAAAGACGACGATTACGTCATCGACAATAGTACGTGTTATGTTGAAGGGGGTGATCATTTTCGTGACGGTTCAACTCCATTTGAAAACCAGGATTTTCCTCTGACCTCAAGATAGAACACGTAAGGTTGATCCCCACTTGAGTTGAGTACCCTTCTCGACATACATGTACATGAACTAAATGGAAGATTTGGAGTAACATCAGGTAACTTCCCTTTCATCGGACACTTAGGATGCAGTGTTATAGACTATGCTTTAGCATCAATAAAATCTTTTTCACAATATTTCAGAATTTAAAATAATATCTGAACATTTACCTGTCAAGGTGAGTATTAAGCACGACAGGATTGTCATTTCCACCTCTACTGGCAAACAGTTAAAACAAATACATATCTGGACTGAAAACTTAATGAATCCTTTGTCACAAACATGTCATCACATATTATCATTGATATGTTAGAAAACGCAGCAGGACAATCATCATAGTGTGGATTCTTTGGATCATTTCAGGTGTTGCTGACGTCACAGGCCTTCCGGGACGGGGTTGTCTTCAAGGTTCTCCCAATCACGCTCAAAGGGGAAGTGATCTTAAGCAAAACTCCAGGACTGGTTGTTGCCTTTGTTATTGTTTTTTTTCCCGTGAGTACCCGGATGATATAGCAGAAACCTAGACTAGTTCGCGACCTGTGCTGCGCAATTCGTAAGCGTATTTGTCACTCTTTATTAATATTATAAGGGCGCATGGTCATTTAGATCAACAAAATGAAATACAGTTTTGGAAATAATAAGGAAATGTAGGAATCTTTGTGGGTTTGCGTTAGTAATGGTGACGACGTTTTGATAAGTCACTTGCTTGGTAATCGTGCAATTTACACCATTTTGACAACAACACAAAGTAAATATTTCTCCTCCTTATTTTATCGTGTTTATATTTTTGCAGTCAAAATGTGCAAAAGTTTCACTTAGGAAATTTATTAAACACCTGAATATTCAGTTATTTTACAAACTGACTGAAAATTATGTCCATCTGTATTATTATGACAACGAATTTCAAACATTCTTTATGTTTAATATCATCAGCAAGTGACTAAAACTGTTACGAAGAAAAGAACATTTCTATATTATTTGGTTTTTAATCCTACATAATAATCTATTGTGATGTATTGAGGCCCTTTTGATCGTCTTAATCAATTTTAGTCAATCTGTTAAAGAAATGGACAGATTTTTCAGTCAAAATTACTTTAATATTTACACATTTTATAAATTGCCTAAGAGAATGACATTTTACAAATTGACTGCAATATATACACACTTACAAAGGAAAAGATTTGTGAAAACAACGTCTATCGCGTCTATCGCGCATCGAAGAATTTCCCAACCAAGACGTAGAGGAACAAGAATGAATCTGTTCAATGCTACATCAAATGAAGGAAAACAAAATCCAAATATCATAATTACAACCTATCAAATATATGTGTATAATTTTAGGCAGCTTCCTTGTTCGAGGGACGTATCCGTGAATATCCACACACACAAAATTATTCTCTGTAACAATCAAACATTTTAAAATATATAGATATCGTTTCGGGATATTATAACCAGTTTTCGTTTCTCAACTGATCATTTAGAATGTTTCAGGTGTTTCACATAGGTGACTGTCAAGTCTCAAAGGTCGACTGAGAAAGCCCACGTAACAATTATTTTCATAACGTCCACAGTTCCTAAAAAAATCCATTGAGTTAGATAACAATAAGCAATCAATCAAGGTATTATCGGTTAACCCTTTGAACAAAGTATGGCGGCACTTCACGCCATGACATGAGTGTATTCCCTTTGTTTTAGTAAACCTAGACATGTAAACACTCATTTTTGACATATCCACTTGCTGGGCTGCCACGTGCATATTACATAACACACATTTCACCTCTCTTCAAACCTGGATTTAGTTTGAAATCATTACCCCAGACACAAGAAATGCCAAATGGGAACCTTTGTCGGGTATTCTGAGTGGTGTTATCACTAATCATACCTGTTATAAATTCATTAACTGAGCATCAAGTGAATGACGACAAATGCGCAAGTGTACCAGGAAACATGGATGACAACAAGGGAGTAATAATCGTATTATCGACGCAATCCGAAATCCGAAAATGCTTTCACTGCATGGATCCTTATTTATCATTAAACTATACCCATCAAGGTTTTTTCCAAATGATGACATCAGATGAGCTCCGGCGTTCTTTTCGTCAATTTGTTTAGGCTGAAGAAATTAATTAACATGCGCCCTTTATAGATCACGGTTAACCAATCAGTGTTCAAAAATGAGTAAAACAAATATTGCCTCCAAGTGTATTTAGCTGTTCTTGCAGACGATAGCCCAGTCTCTTGTCACGCTCAGTTGCGTTGCGTATCATCCGGGTACTCACGGGGAAAAAAACAATGACAAAGGCAACAACCAATCCCGGGGAATTGCTTTAGATCAGTGCCCCTTTAAACTTTGTTGCCCGCCTTTTTATGGTTGCATAAGAAGGGACATCATTCTCTTGTGTTGTACTCAATTCTCCATAGGTTTTGGTGTTAAGTCCTTGAAGACAGGTTTTAGTGTTAAGACCCTGAAGACACACTGATCCAACATTGGCCTTTAGTTATATTCTTTACTCACCTTTTCGCTAATACCTGGTATCATCACTATTTGATAGGATTCATCAACAGCTGCTCATGACAAAGTCGGAATCATACAATCGACTCTTAAGAATAGGGGGCACGGCTGGCCCAGTCGTTTAAGACAGTGCGATTCGCTGGCCAGAGTTCAATCCTAGCCGAATGAATACTTCAATCATCATTAGGCTTATCTACTGTTCTGGCCCCTTGACGTAAATATGGGCGGTGGGGTAGCCTAGTGTTGAAAGCGTTCGCTCTAGGCGGACAAACGAATGACTATTCTTCATCACTGATGAGGAGGAGGATTTGGAAGATATTACGTGCGCTTTCCGACATTATGCATGTTTCGCACATGGACCCGTCAGGCCGTTTAGTGTGGTTTGCCACAAATGGGAGGAGGACTTCGGCCGAGGGGGCGTTTGGGTTGCATATTTAAAGTTTGAAGAATTTGGAATTTGGAATTTTGGCAGAGGTGGAGGAACATATCTCTGTCATTTCTGGCTCACACGTCCTGTTGATCAAGCCAAAGCATACTGGTTATATCTCGCTGTTTTCACGCACTTAACACACTTCATAGGCGTTACTACTCACGAATGGATTAGATTTCCACTAAAAAACACTGAAAGGTTTACTCATTACGATAAACGTTTATTCAGATTGGTACATTGGTCTGTAGAGAGATCGTAAGTAAATTGCAATGGTTAAAACAACACGTGATCACTAATGCAAGATATTCATTGTAAAAACAACATCTATCATGTATATTCTGTACATGTCCTGCTCACATTGGATATTTATTTGTTATTAACAACAACATCTGTCATGTATATTCTGTACATGTCCTGCTCACATTGGATATTTATTTGTTATTAACAACAACATCTATCATGTATATTCTGTACATGTCCTGCTCACATTGGATATTTATTTGTTATTAACAACAACATCTACCATGTATATTCTGTACATGTCCTGCTCACATTGGATATTTATTTGTTATTAACAACAACATCTATCGTGTATATTCTGTACATGTCCTGCTCACATTGGATATTTATTTGTTATTAACAACAACATCTATCATGTATATTCTGTACATGTCCTGCTCACATTGGATATTTATTTGTTATTAACAACAACATCTGTCATGTATATTCTGTACATGTCCTGCTCACATTGGATATTTATTTGTTATTAACAACAACATCTATCATGTACATGTATATTCTGTACATGTCCTGCTCACATTGGATATTTATTTGTTATTAACAACAACATCTGTCATGTATATTCTGTACATGTCCTGCTCACATTGGATATTTATTTGTTATTAACAACAACATCTACCATGTATATTCTGTACATATCCTGCTCACATTGGATATTTATTTGTTATTAACAACAACATCTATCATGCCTATTCTGTACATGTCCTGCTCACATTGGATATTTATTTGTTATTAACAACAACATCTATCATGTATATTTTGTACATGTCCTGCTCACATTGGATATTTATTTGTTATTAACAACAACATCTATCATGTATATTTTGTACATGTCCTGCTCACATTGGATATTTATTTGTTATTAACAACAACATCTATCATGTATATTCTGTACATGTCCTGCTCACATTGGATATTTATTTGTTATTAACAACAACATCTATCATGTATATTTTGTACATGTCCTGCTCACATTGGATATTTATTTGTTATTAACAACAACATCTATCATGTCTATTCTGTACATGCCCTGCTCACATAGGATATTTATTTGTTATTAACAACAACATCTGTCATGTATATTCTGTACATGTCCTGCTCACATTGGATATTTATTTGTTATTAACAACAACATCTACCATGTATATTCTGTACATGTCCTGCTCACATTGGATATTTATTTGTTATTAACAACAACATCTGTCATGTATATTCTGTACATGTCCTGCTCACATTGGATATTTATTTGTTATTAACAACAACATCTATCATGTCTATTCTGTACATGTCCTGCTCACATTGGATATCTATTTGTTATTCACAACAACATCTGTCATGTATATTCTGTACATGTCCTGCTCACATTGGATATTTATTTGTTATTCACAACAACATCTGTCATGTATATTCTGTACATGTCCTGCTCACATTGGATATTTATTTGTTATTAACAACAACATCTATCATGTATATTTTGTACATGTCCTGCTCACATTGGATATTTATTTGTTATTAACAACAACATCTATCATGCCTATTCTGTACATGTCCTGCTCACATTGGATATTTATTTGTTATTAACAACAACATCTATCATGTATATTTTGTACATGTCCTGCTCACATTGGATATTTATTTGTTATTAACAACAACATCTATCATGTATATTCTGTACATGTCCTGCTCACATTGGATATTTATTTGTTATTAACAACAACATCTATCATGTATATTCTGTACATGTCCTGCTCACATTGGATATTTATTTGTTATTAACAACAACATCTATCATGCCTATTCTGTACATGTCCTGCTCACATTGGCCGTTTTGACTGACTTTTGAGGCCGTTTTGACTATAACCCTGTATTCACGGGTGATGAGGAAACGTATTGAGTACAAACCTTTGAGCGAGTGAATTTGGTTTCACGCCGCAATATTTCAGCAATATCATGGTGGGGGACACCAGAAATGAGCTTCACACATTGTAACCATGTCGGGAATCGAACCCGGGTCTTCGGCCTGATGAGCGAACGCTTTAACCACAAGGCTACCCGACCGCCCCACAAATCTATGAAGTATCCAAAACGTAAACATTTGGCAACATATGAAATGACTTTGAAATCAATGTGTATATTTCAGTAAAAGAAAGTTTAAAAACACCCAAAAGGTGAGTTTCTGTATCCGTGGGACGCTGATGTTATCATGCTCTACAAACTAAACATTCCAGTGTCATAAGTCCCAAACCTACACGTCTACACAAGTGTGCCATTTCTATAGATATATTTCAGATATTCCATATTTCGGTAATATTCATAGTCGATGGTGTTGTTCTGTTTGTCTCCATTCATGGCTCTTTCTCTCAGCCACTCCTCTATGCATTCAAATGTTCGTGGCTGATAATTGATGTAGAACTTGTTGGCAAACAGTTCCATGCGTGACGTCAACAGACGGAGATCGCCTACACCAAATATGCAGATATCCCTCACGCGCTTTCCTTTACAGGGCCAATTCATAATACCGTCTCCCCAAGCAGCTCCCCAATTCTTGAACCGAGCAATGTAGGGTTTCCGTGTATTCGTTTGTATATGTACTGGGAAGAAAAGAAACATAAAATAAAAACATGTGTGCATTGCATGCAAAGGAAAGGACGCAGAACCATCCTTGCCTTACGCAGGATTCCTAAAACTCGTTCGAATGACACGTTGTCATGACATGCACAGCCCACTCAGCTCATCTCAATTCCAAAGGACAACGTAATTTGGTCGTGAACCAAACACAATTGTTTCATTATTTCCCGGTTTCATTTGTTTTCAGCTAAAGGTGTATATCCTATCTGTACAGCCAAGAACAGCCTGCTTTCAAAAACGGTAGTCAATTTACGGACCAACTATTTAATGTTCTGAGCTTGGGGAGGGGTAGATGGGCTGGGACTTGTATGGAGTTAAAGATAAATCCAACCCTACCCGAGAGAAATAAAATGGTAGGACCGTTATACGATCTGAATTCGGGGATCTGGCGCTACAACGTTTACAGGAACGTTTGATGGGTAGCTAATCCATTGAGCCAAGTGAATTTATATCACTTCCATGAATGGTCTGTAAAACGTACAGAAAGCAGCGCAGTGATACTGTATAGAATGACGATCTCACAGAATAAGGGATGCGGGATAGCCTAGTGTTAAAGCGTTCGCTCGTCACGCCAAAGGCCCGGGTTCGATTCCCCATATGTGCACAATATGAGAAGCCCATTTCTGGTGTCCCCCGCCGTGATATTGCTTGAAAATTGCTAAAAGCGGCGTCAAACCATACCTATTCTCTCACCTATTACTGGTCTGAAAGAATACTCGTCATGAATTCAGTGAGTGTCAATAAGCCACCAGAACATCCATGTTGCAAATGTCACGTTCGGTATTTATGTTGTCATGTTACAAATATGTTGTTGTTTTCTCATCTCAAGAAGCGTAATCCTGACACAGGATACCGGCGAAGAACATTATTTACCCACTCACTCACCCACTGACTGTGTACATGGAGGCGATTGTCGTCTTACCTAAGGCTGAGCCTGGCACCTTGAGGTGCGGGTTGTGATTAAGAGACGGGAAAAATGTTTCATCCGGGACCACTGCGTTTTTTACCCACTTTGCAAAGTCTTTTGCGATTGGGTTGTTCATGATGTAGTCCACAAATCCCCTACACGCCACGATATGAGTGTTGCCCTTGTAAGTACGTATTTTATGATGCGGATTCCCCAAGTGCTTCCATAGTTTTTTCCACTTCCTACAAAACAAACAGAAACAATATATACATTCTTCAATTAATCGGTCTTGTCCAACTGAATTTTTAGGCTTGCCTTTATAAAACCAATATATTGCTTTGGCCTTGTCTTTGTGAAAATGTATAAATATATACTAGGGGGAAAAAGTAACTTTGCTATAAAGTGGTGTAAATGTTATGATATTGAAATAACAACATAGTATTTGGTCATTCTTTTGATGAGTGTTTTATCAAGATAAATTCATTAATAAAACGGATGCCTGGTAACATGAGACAGAACATCTTGTTCCAATTTGGGAATCGACTTGCAACACCTGTTATGATAAATATAGGTTACTGGAGACCAATTCTTACTTGGATTTTCTTGGGTCGTCTCAGTAAAACGTGTAGACGGTTACATCAATATATTAAATTGGTCTTGTCTCAGAAGAATATACACAGAAACAAATCCAATTGGCTTTTCTTTAATAAATGTCTTCGTATAAAATTTAATAGAAATACATGAATGATTTCTTGCCCGAATGAAAAACTTCAGTAAGACGGTTAATGGAAAAAAATTAAATTAAGTAGAGCTATACTTTCCTACCTTGGGTTTAAATAAAAAGAGGATATGCTTACTTGTTCGTGGTAGCATCTATACTGTTTGCACCATTCAGGATCTTCAGAATTCGGACAATCTCGAGATTCGTCTTGAGGGGATATTCCTGTCCTGTCAAATTGATGAAATATTTCCACCCAGGCCGTTGTAGCAAGTCCTTCATACACGCCATTTCCGCCTCTAAGACAGAGTATCCAGCCCACTCTACTTTCATCTGTCTCGATGACAGGAATACGTTAGGGAAGCACCTCACAATGCTCATTATCTGAAGCTTTACCTTGAAGTGTGCCTTCCGGTCTACGTGGATGCAGTAGAAATTGGAAGGTCTGTAAATAGCTCTGAGCAGTCGCTCCACCTGCTCCACGTCCTTGAACATTAGTATATTGTAGGCAAGTGGGAACCCAATCTCTTCACTGGTTACGTTTAGTATATATCCTCGATCTCGGAGAAAATTATGGCAGTTTCGCGTCACCAATTGGTAATCAGTCTTTGGCCTATATGGATACTTATAGGTAAAGATCTGTGTTTTCATTTCATTGTATTCCGCGTCTTTTCCTGAAATCAAAGCTTTGCAAGATGGCTTTGAGATGAGCATTGTTAATCCTACTGTGTTGTGTGAAATTGCCCCTTCAGGAAGTTGGCCTTCTTCAATAGATCTATTATTAGATACATCACAGTTTAAAATGTTCGATCGTGTTCTTTCAAGAGATCCTTTCATGGTCATTTTTCCTTTGGCATCCATTTTATGAGGAACTGGTATCTTTTCTTTTGGGGGAACCACGGCTGACTCCATGAAGAGACAAATGATGATCACAGTCGTTGTGAGCAGGAAGAAGATGACTCTAATTGCAAACATGAGTTCCATCGTATTATTTCTGCAACATTAAAGTATTTATACAGATGGACAATTACATAAACAAACATTCTTTGTATACATAGATTACCTGTTTGTCATCCCCCACCTCGAAGTGTGATAGGGGATATATACTTTCCAAAAGTAGGGGGTTTTGAAATAAAAAAGTTAATAGTATTAGAACATTGACAAGTGTTGACGACAAACATCCTGAGAACGTCTATGTCTTTCAACCTTAACACCAAAACACATCCCATAGTTTGTACGTGCCTGACGCAGTAGCACCACAAATGCGAAGGGTATCATTCCTGGAAGGTCGACTTATCTCTGTGGACCATTATTTCTGCCAATCTTATTGACTCTAATTACCATACATTAACTTCATTTCATTCATTGTTTGTGTATGAACTAGCGATGCTGCGTCTGCAATGCGCAGAGCGTCTGTGGGCAATGGGCATGCTGGAAGCTGGCAGAAGTCAGCCTGCAGTGACCACTAGGTTCAATGTTTCGCAGTGTTTGATTAGCAGACAAACAAGCCCAAAATGTTGACGACCGAACACGTTCAGGGCGTCCCAGAACAACGACAAGAGTTCAGGATCGGTTGATCCAAAACCAGGCTCTTCGAAATATGTCTCAAACGACCAATCAAGTTGCTGCAAATTTTCACCAGTCCACTTGATTACGAGTTACGGGTGAGGGGAATAGAAATCGTCTACATGCAGCTCATCTGTGTGTTCGATGCCTGGTGTTGTGCAGCCCCCGCATCATGTTGCCAACATTCGTCAATGGTGAACACCACGTCGAAACTAGGGTAATCGTCGCTGGTCACATGTCATGTTTTCATTTTTAATTCCTTGATCGTGGTTGTGTCTGGCGACGTCGAAATGAACATTAAGCCAAATTCAACTTTGAACCTCATACAATTTTGGGGTAGATCAGTTATGGTGTGGGGTGGCATCACTATGATTGAGCGAATCCCACTCCATATTGTGCATGGAGGTCACTGGACAGTACTATCGGGTTAACATATTGACACCAGTTGTTGTCCCGTTTGTATGGCGTGTGGGTCAACGTTTTGTCTTTCAGGACGACTACGCGCGCAGCGACCGTGCACAAATCATCAGTGCCTACCTCCAACAGCAAAACATCCATGTAATGTCATGGCTCGCAATGAGTCGAGACCTTTCCTCCACTGAACACGTCTGAGACGCTACAGCGTTGGCTTAACTTGGCCAGGCGCTGCAAGAGGAGTGAGACTCCCTATGCTGAGACATTTTTTCGAGGATTTGTTTATTCACCAAACCCGTGTACGTTGGCTTGTGATGCACACCTATTTTTCCAATAAACTGAACCCGCTTGTTGGGTCAGAGCAGGGGCGTGTTGTGGACCTGTGCTGAACTGGGTACCCAATGGTTACAGTAATTATAAACACTACTACTTACCCTCGTTACCCTCGTTATCCTCATGCACCATCACACGCCCTGTCACTGCAGTCGTTACATAACTGGTTGCATAACTGGCGTATTCCACGTTCAATACTTTTATGACAACAACGACACACTGAAACAGATGTGCCCCTATTCTTATGTACGACTTCATCAATAATTAGATGAACCTCTGAACCGTTTACAAATGTTACCTATTCAGCTATTGTGCTTTTGAATAATATTTTCATTTCTGCCCACGGGACTGACCCCAGAGGTGTTACATAACATACAAATAATTGCTCTCCACGCGGTCGCATATTGACGTCGTCAAGAGTAATTGTTTGCTTTGTTGTACCGAAATGCCATTTATTACCTTGACATGTTTGTGCCAGACACCATCTTGTTTCTAGCAGACGAGTCAATATTCACCACGTGACATAGCGACGTGTATGCAAGTGTGAGCGTTACTACTTTTACTGAACCTCACTGATGCCGGTTTTCTAGTGCTAACCCACACCCTGGCCGCGGCATACCAAAAGACGTTAAAAGATGGTACTTGTTGTTACACTGTCTGGCGCTCGGCATTAAGGGGCTAAAACAAGGACTGGTCGGCTCGGAGTCAGTATACTGTGTCTGAGTGGGGTATTCATGTTAAACTGCGGCATGGTATCTCAGTAAGCTAGCACTATAAATCGGCATCAGTCCGGACTAGTACAGGCAGCCACACAAAGACACACACGTACATGCACGTCGCTATATAAGTGCAATAATCTTGGACGCGACGTTAATCCCCATTTCACCACCACCGCTAACCCACAGCTGTTCTATCCACAAGACAATGGTACGTGGTCAGTACCCTTACCCATATGTTTACAAAAAATCCACCAGTATCTTTGTAGGTGCCACTTTTTGGGTCCACTTGCACAAAGCGATCTTAGCGCTAAGACTATTGTAAGCCTATGTTAAAGTATGGGAGTTAAGATCATCTTAGCGCTAAGATCGCTTTGTGCAAGTGGACCCTGATCTCAAACTATCATAATCCATTGCAGTACCTCTGTGCAGAGACAAAGGGTATATCCGTTACGGCATCTCCCAGAATACAGAGATGGGCTATCATCAAATCTGCATATCACTACTCCTGCATGTCTCACCATACAGTACATAAATGATGTTAGATTTAGCGTAAATAGTGATGTTTGATAAGACCCCACCCCCACCCCCACCCAACCCCACCCCGGTTATAATATGGATATTTTATTTGTATTTAGTCATGTCCGTCCAGAAGGCTCATCTTGGTATGACGACAAAGACTGGTGAAATGGAGCGGAATTAGTATTGAACTTATTACTTTGTGTGCTCGAAGAGTATACATCGGTATCCGTTTTGATGTTTGGAGACTTTAACAGCAGAACTGTCAAAGACGACGACTACGTCAACGACAATAGTACGTGTTATGTTGAAAGGGATGATCATTTTCGTGACGGTTCAACTCAATTTGAAAACCAAGATTTCTTTCCTCTGACCTCAAGATAGAACACGTAAGGTTGATCCCCATTTGAGTTGATTACCCTTCTCGACATACATGAACTAAATGGAAGATTTGGAGTAACATCAGGTGACTTCCCTTTCATCGGACACTTAGGATGCAGTGTTATAGACTATGCTTTAGCATCAATAAAATCTTTTTCACAATATTTCAGAATTTAAAATAATATCTGAACATTTACCTGTCAAGGTGAGTATTAAGCACGACAGGATTGTCATTTCCACCTCTACTGGCAAACAGTTAAAACAAATACATATCTGGACTGAAAAACTTAGTGAATCCTTTGTCACAAACATGTCATCACATATTATCATTGATATGTTAGAAAACGCAGCAGGACAATCATCATAGTGTGGATTCTTTGGATCATTTCGGGTGTTGCTGACGTCACAGGCCTTCCGGGACGGGGTTGTCTTCAAGGTTCTCCCAATCACGCTCAAAGGGGAAGTGATCTTAAGCAAATCTCCGGGACTGGTTGTTGCCTTTGTTATTGTTTTGTTTTTCCCGTGAGTACCCGGATGATATAGCAGAAACCTAGACTAGTTCGCGACCTGTGCTGCGCAATTCGTATATTATAAGGGCGTATGGTCACATTGATCAACAAAGTGAAATACAGTTTTGGAAATAATAAGGAAATGTAGGAATCTTTGTGGGTTTACGTTAGTAATGGTGACGACGTTTTGATAAGTCACTTGCTTGGTAATCGTGCAATTTACACTATTTTGACAACAACACAAAGTAAATATTTCTCCTCCTAATTTTATTATTAGATACATCATAGGTTAAAATGTTTGATCTTGTTCTTTCAAGAGATATTTTCATGGTCATTTTTCCTTTGGCATCCATTTTATGAGGAACTGGTATCTTTTCTTTTTGGGGGAACCACAGCTGACTCCATGAAGAGACAAATGATGATCACAGTCGTTGTGAGCAGGAGGAAGATGACTCTAATTGCAAACATAAGTTCCATCGTATTATTTCTGCAACATAAAAGTATCTATACAGATGGACAATTACATAAACAAACATTCTTTGTATACATAGATTACCTGTTTGTCATCCCCCACCTCGAAGTGTGATAGGGGATATATACTTTCCAAAAGTAGGGGGTTATGAAATATAAATGTTAATAGTATTAGAACATTGACAAGTGTTGACGACAAACATCCTGAGAACGTCTTTGTCTTTCAACCCTAACACCAAAACACATCCCATAGTTTGCACGTGCCTGACGCAGTAGCACCACAAATGCGAAGAGAATCATTCCTGTTTTTGACACTTTCAAGGAAGGTCGATTTATCTCTGTGAACCATTTTTTCAACACAAAGTAAATATTTCTCCTTATTTTATCATGTTTATATTTTTGCAGTCAAAATGTGCAAAAGTTTCACTTAGGAAATTTATTAAACACCTGAATATTCAGTTATTTTACAAACTGACTGAAAATTATGTTCATCTGTTATATAATGACAACGAATTTCAAACATTCTCTATGTTTAATATCATCAGCAAGTGACTAAAACTGTCACGAAGAAAAGAACATTTCTATATTATTTGGTTTTTAATCCTACATAATAATCTATTGTGATGTATTGAGGCCCTTTTGATCGTCTTAATCAATTTTAGTCAATCTGTTAAAGAAATGGACAGATTTTTCAGTCAAAATTACTTTAATATTTACACATTTTATAAATTGCCTGAGAGAATGACATTTTACAAATTGACTGCAATATATACACACTTACAAAGGAAAAGACTTGTGAAAACAACGTCTTTCGCGTCTATCGCGCGTCGAAGAATTTCCCAACCAAGACGTAGAGGAACAAGAATGAATCTGTTCAATGCTACATCAAATGAAGGAAAACAAAATCCGAATATCATAATTACAACCTATCAAATATATGTGTATAATTTTAGGCAGCTTCCTTGTTCGAGGAACGTATCCGTGAATATCCACACACACAAAATTATTCTCTGTAACAATCAAACATTTTAAAATATATGGATATCGTTTCGGGATATTATAACCCGTTTTCGTTTCTCAACTGATCGTTTAGAATGTTTCAGGTGTTTCACATAGGTGACTGTCAAGTCTCAAAGGTCGGCTGAGAAAGCCCACGTAACAACTATTTTCATAACGTCCACGGTTCCTAAAAAAATCCATTGAGTTAGATAACAATGAGCAATCAATCAACGTATTATCGGTTAACCCTTTGAACAAAGTATGGCGGCACTTCACGCCATGACATGAGTGTATTCCCTTTGTTTTAGTAAACCTAGACATGTAAACACTCACTTTTGACATATCCACTTGCTGGGCTGCCACGTGCATATTACATAACACACATATCAACTCTCTTCAAACCTGGATTTAGTTTGAAATCATTACCCCAGACACAAGAAATGCCAAATGGGAACCTGTCGGGTATTCTGAGTGGTGTTATCACTAATCATACCTGTAATAAATTCATTAACTGAGCATCAAGTGAATGACGACAAATGCGCAAGGGTTTCAGAAAACGTGGATGAAAACAAGGGAGTAATAATCGTATTATCGACGCAATCCGAAATCCGAAAATGCTTTCACTGCATGGATCCTTATTTATCATTAAACTATACCCATCAAGGTTTTTTTCCAAATGACGACATCCGATGAGCTCCGGCGTTCTTTTCGTCAATTTGTTTAGGCTGAAGAAATTAATTAACATGCGCCCTTTATAGATCACGGTTAACCAATCAGTGTTCAAAAATAAGTAAAACAAATATTGCCTCCAAGTGTATTTAGCTGTCCTTGCAGACGATAGCCCAGTCTCTTGTCACGCTTGGTTGCGTTGCGTATCATCCGGGTACTCACGGGGGAAAAAACAATGACAAAGGCAACAACCAGTCCCGGGGAATTGCTTTAGATCAATGGCCCTTTAAACTTTGTTGCCCGCCTTTTTATGATTGCATAAGAAGGGACATCATTCTCTTGTGTTGTACTCAATTCTCCATAGGTTTTGATGTTAAGTCCTTGAAGACAGGTTTTAGTGTTAAGACCCTGAAGACACACTGATCCAACATTGGCCTTTAGTTATATTCTTTACTCACCTTTTCGCTAATACCTGGTATCATCACTATTTGATAGGATTCATAAACAGCTGCTCATGACAAAGTCGGAATCATACAATCGACTCTTAAGAATAGGGGGCACGGCTGGCCCAGTCTTTTAAGACAGTGCGATTCGTTGGCCAGAGTTCAATCCTAGCCAAATGAATACTTCAATCATCATTAGGCTTATCTACTGTTCTGGCCCCTTGACATAAATATGGGCGGTGGGGTAGCCTAGTGTTGAAAGCGTTCGCTCTAGGCGGACAAACAAATGACTATTCTTCATCACTGATGATGAGGAGGATTTGGAAGATATTACGTGTGCTTTCCGACATTATGCATGTTTCGCACATGGACCAGTCAGGCCGTTTAGTGTGGTTTGCCAAAAATGGGAGGAGGACTTCGGCCGAGGGGGCGTTTTGGTTGCATATTTAGTGTTTGAAGAATTTGGAATTTGGAATTTTGGCGGAGGTGGAGGAAAATATCTCTGTCATTTCAGTCCCACACGTCCTGTTGATCAAGCAAAAGCATACTGGTTATTTCTCGCTGTTTTCACGCACTTAACACACTTCATAGGCATTACTACTCCCGAATGGATTAGATTTCCAATAAAAAACACTGAAAGGTTTACTCATTACGATAAACGTTTATTCAGATTGGTACATTGGTCTGTAGAGAGATCGTAAGTAAATTGCAATGGTTAAAACAACACGTGATCACTACTGCAAGATATTCATTGTAATAACAACATCTATCGTGTATATTCTGTACATGTCCTGCTCACATTGGATATTTATTTGTTATTAACAACAACATCTATCATGTATATTCTGTACATGTCCTGCTCACATTGGATATTTATTTGTTATTAACAACAACATCTGTCATGTATATTCTGTACATGTCCTGCTCACATTGGATATTTATTTGTTATTAACAACAACATCTATCATGTATATTCTGTACATGTCCTGCTCACATTGGATATTTATTTGTTATTAACAACAACATCTGTCATGTATATTCTGTACATGTCCTGCTCACATTGGCCGTTTTGACTGACTTTTGAGGCCGTTTTGACTATAACCCTGTATTCACGGGTGATGAGGAAACGTATTGAGTACAAACCTTTGAGCGAGTGAATTTGGTTTCACGCCGCAATATTTCAGCAATATCATGGTGGGGGACACCAGAAATGAGCTTCACACATTGTAACCATGTCGGGAATCGAACCCGGGTCTTCGGCGTGATGAGCGAACGCTTTAACCACAAGGCTACCCGACAGCCCCACAAATCTATGAAGTATCCAAAATGTAAACATTTGGCAACATATGAAATGGCTTTTAAATCAATGTGTATATTTCAGTAAAAGAAAGTTTAAAAACACCCAAAAGGTGAGTTTCTGTATCCGTGGGACGCTGATGTTATCATGCTCTACAAACCAAACATTTCAGTGTCATAAGTCCCAAACCTACACGTCTACACAAGTGTGCCATTTCTATAGATATATTTCAGATATTCCATATTTCGGTAATATTCATAGTCGATGGTGTTGTTCTGTTTGTCTTCATTCATGGCTCTTTCTCTCAGCCACTCCTCTATGCATTCAAATGTTCGTGGCTGATAATTGATGTAGAACTTGTTGGCAAACAGTTCCATGCGTGACGTCAACAGACGGAGATCGCCTACACCAAATATGCAGATATCCCTCACGCGCTTTCCTTTACAGGGCCAATTCATAATACCGTCTCCCCAAGCAGCTCCCCAATTCTTGAACCGAGCAATGTAGGGTTTCCGTGTATTCGTTTGTATATGTACTGGGAAGAAAAGAAACATAAAATAAAAACATGTGTGCATTGCATGCAAAGGAAAGGACGCAGAACCATCCTTGCCTTACACAGGATTCCTAAAACTCGTTCGAATGACACGTTGTCATGACATGCACAGCCCACTCAGCTCATCTCAATTCCAAAGGACAACGTAATTTGGTCGTGAACCAAACACAATTGTTTCATTATTTCCCGGTTTCATTTGTTTTCAGCTAAAGGTGTATATCCTATCTGTACAGCCAAGAACAGCCTGCTTTCAAAAACGGTAGTCAATTTACGGACCAACTATTTAATGTTCTGAGGTTGGGGAGGGGTAGATGGGCTGGGACTTGTGTGGAGTTAAAGATAAACCCAACCCTACCCGAGAGAAATAAAATGGTAGGACCGTTATACGATCTGAATTCGGGGATCTGGCGCTACAACGTTTACAGGAACGTTTGATGGGTAGCTAATCCATTGAGCCAAGTGAATTTATATCACTTCCATGGATGGTCTGTAAAACGTACAGAAAGCAGCGCAGTGATACTGTATAGAATGACGATCTCACAGAATAAGGGATGCGGGATAGCCTAGTGTTAAAGAGTTCGCTCGTCACGCCAAAGGCCCGGGTTCGATTCCCCATATGTGTACAATATGAGAAGCCCATTTCTGGTGTCCCCCGCCGTGATATTGCTTGAAAATTGCTAAAAGCGGCGTCAAACCATACCTATTCTCTCACCTATTACTGGTCTGAAAGAATACTCGTCATGAATTCAGTGAGTGTCAATAAGCCACCAGAACATCCATGTTGCAAATGTCACGTTCGGTATTTATGTTGTCATGTTACATATATGTTGTTGTTTTCTCATCTCAAGAAGCGTAATCCTGACACAGGATACCGGCGAAGAACATTATTTACCCACTCACTCACCCACTGACTGTGTACATGGAGGCGATTGTCGTCTTACCTAAGGCTGAGCCTGGCACCTTGAGGTGCGGGTTGTGATTAAGAGACGGGAAAAATGTTTCATCCGGAACCACTGCGTTTTTTACCCACTTTGCAAAGTCTTTTGCGATTGGGTTGTTCATGATGTAGTCCACAAATCCCCTACACGCCACGATATGAGTGTTGCCCTTGTAAGTACGTATTTTATGATGCGGATTCCCCAAGTGCTTCCATAGTTTTTTCCACTTCCTACAAAACAAACAGAAACAATATATACATTCTTCAATTAATCGGTCTTGTCCAACTGAATTTTTAGGCTTGCCTTTATAAAACCAATATATTGCTTTGGCCTTGTCTTTGTGAAAATGTATAAATATATACTAGGGGGAAAAAGTAACTTTGCTATAAAGTGGTGTAAATGTTATGATATTGAAATAACAACATAGTATTTGGTCATTCTTTTGATGAGTGTTTTATCAAGATAAATTCATTAATAAAACGGATGCCTGGTAACATGAGACAGAACATCTTGTTCCATTTTGGGAATCGACTTGCAACACCTGTTATGATAAATATAGGTTACTGGAGACCAATTCTTACTTGGATTTTCTTGGGTCGTCTCAGTAAAACGTGTAGACGGTTACATCAATATATTAAATTGGTCTTGTCTCAGAAGAATATACACAGAAACAAATCCAATTGGCTTTTCTTTAATAAATGTCTTCGTATAAAATTTAATAGAAATACATGAATGATTTCTTGCCCGAATGAAAAACTTCAGTAAGACGGTAAATGGAAAGAAATTAAATTAAGTAGAGCTATACTTTCCTCCCTTGGGTTTAAATAAAAAGAGCATATGCTTACTTGTTCGTGGTAGCATCTATACTGTTTGCACCATTCAGGATCTTCAGAATTCGGACAATCTCCAGATTCGTCTTGAGGGGATATTCCTGTCCTGTCAAATTGATGAAATATTTCCACCCAGGACGTTGTAGCAAGTCCTTCATACACGCCATTTCCGCCTCTAAGACAGAGTATCCAGCCCACTCTACTTTCATCTGTCTCGATGACAGGAATACGTTAGGGAAGCACCTCACAATGCTCATTATCTGAAGCTTTACCTTGAAGTGTGCCTTCCGGTCTACGTGGATGCAGTAGAAATTGGAAGGTCTGTAAATAGCTCTGAGCAGTCGCTCCACCTGCTCCACGTCCTTGAACATTAGTATATTGTAGGCAAGTGGGAACCCAATCTCTTCACTGGTTACGTTTAGTATATATCCTCGATCTCGGAGAAAATTATGGCAGTTTCGCGTCACCAATTGGTAATCAGTCTTTGGCCTATATGGATACTTATAGGTAAAGATCTGTGTTTTCATTTCATTGTATTCCGCGTCTTTTCCTGAAATCAAAGCTTTGCAAGATGGCTTTGAGATGAGCATTGTTAATCCTACTGTGTTGTGTGAAATTGCCCCTTCAGGAAGTTGGCCTTCTTCAATAGATCTATTATTAGATACATCACAGTTTAAAATGTTCGATCGTGTTCTTTCAAGAGATCTTTTCATGGTCATTTTTCCTTTGGCACCCATTTTATGAGGAACTGGTATCTTTTCTTTTGGGGGAACCACGGCTGACTCCATGAAGAGACAAATGATGATCACAGTCGTTGTGAGCAGGAAGAAGATGACTCTAATTGCAAACATGAGTTCCATCGTATTATTTCTGCAAAATTAGAGTATTTATACAGATGGACAATTACATAAACAAACATTCTTTGTAAACATAGATTACCTGTTTATCATCCCCCACCTCGAAGTGTGATAGGGGATATATACTTTCCAAAAGTAGGGGGTTATGAAATATAAATGTTAATAGTATTAGAACATTGACAAGTGTTGACGACAAACATCCTGAGAACGTCTATGTCTTTCAACCTTAACACCAAAACACATCCCATAGTTTGCACGTGCCTGACGCAGTAGCACCACAAATGCGAAGGGTATCATTCCTGGTTTTGACACTTTCAAGGAAGGTCGATTTATCTCTGTGGACCATTATTTCTGCCAATCTTATTGACTCTAATTACCATACATTAACTTCATTTCATTCATTGTTTGTATATGAACTAGCGATGCTGCGTCTGCAATGCGCAGAGCGTCTGTGGGCAATGGGCATGCTGGAAACTGGCAGAAGTCAGCCTGCAGTGACCACTAGGTTCAATGTTTCGCAGTGTTTGATTAGCAGACAAACAAGCCCAAAATGTTGACGACCGAACACGTTCAGGGCGTCCTAGAACAACGACAAGAGTTCAGGATCGGTTGAACCAAAACCAGGCTCTCCGAAATATGTCTCAAACGACCAATCAATTTCCTGCAAATTTTCACCAGTCCACTTGATTACGAGTTACGGGTAAGGGGAATAGAAATCGTCTACATGCAGCTCATCTGTGTGTTCGATGCCTGGTGTTGTGCAGCCCCCGCATCATGTTGCCAACATTCGTCAATGGTGAACACAACGTCGAAACTAGGGTAATTGTCGCTGGTCACATGTCATGTTTTCATTTTTAATTCCTTGATCGTGGTTGTGTCTGGCGACGTCGAAATGAACATTAAGCCAAATTCAACCTTGAACCTCATACAATTTTGGGGTAGATCAGTTATGGTGTGGGGTGGCATCACTATGATTGAGCGAATCCCACTCCATATTGTGCATGGAGGTCACTGGACAGTACTATCGGGTTAACATATTGACACCAGTTGTTGTCCCGTTTGTATGGCGCGTGGGTCAACGTTTTGTCTTTCAGGACGACTACGCCCGCAGCGACCGTGCACGAATCATCAGTGCCTATCTCGAACAACAGCAAAACATCCATGTAATGTCATGGCTCTCAATGAGTCGAGACCTTTCCTCCACTGAACACGTCTGAGACACTACAGGGAGAACGCGTTGGCTTAACTTGGCCAGGCGCTGCAAGAGGAGTGAGACTCCCTATGCTGAGACATTTTTTCGAGGATTTGTTTATTCACCAAACCCGTGTACGTTGGCTTGTGATGCACACCTATTTTTCCAATAAACTGAAACCGCTTGTTGGGTCAGAGCAGGGGCGTGTTGTGGACCTGTGCTGAACTGGGTACCCAATGGTTACAGTAATTATAAACACTACTACTTACCCTCGTTACCCTCGTTATCCTCATGCACCATCACACGCCCTGTCACTGCAGTCGTTACATAACTGGTTGCATAACTGGCGTATTCCACGTTCAATACTTTTATGACAACAACGACACACTGAAACAGATGTGCCCCTATTCTTATGTACGACTTCATCAATAATTAGATGAACCTCTGAACCGTTTACAAATGTTACCTATTCAGCTATTGTGCTTTTGAATAATAGTTTCATTTCTGCCCACGGGACTGATCCCCAGAGGCGTTACATAACATACAAATAATTGCTCTCCACGCGGTCGCATATTGACGTTGTCATTATTTGTTTTGTTGTACCGAAATGCCATCTTGTTTCTAGCAGACGAGTCAATATTCACCACGTGACATAGCGACGTGCATGCAAGTTTGAGCGTTACTACTTTTACTGAACCTCACTGATGCCGGTTTTCTAGTGCTAACCCACACCCTGGCCGCGTCGTACCAAAAGACGTTAAAAGATGGTACTTGTTGTTACCCTGTCTGGCGCTCGGCATTAAGGGGCTAAAACAAGGACTGGTCGGCTCGGAGTCAGTATACTGTGTCTGAGTGGGGTATTCATGTTCAACTGCGGCATGGTATCTCAGTGAGCTAGCACTATAAATCGGCATCAGTCCGGACTAATACAAGCAGCCACACAAACACACACACGTACATGCACGTCGCTATATAAGTGCAATAATCTTGGACGCGACGTTAATCCCCATTTCACCACCACCGCTAACCCACAGCTGTTCTATCCACAAGACAATGGTACGTGGTCAGTACCCTTACCCATATGTTTACAAAAAATCCACCAGTATCTTTATAGGTGCCACTTTCTGGGTCCACTTGCACAAAGCGATCTTAGCGCTAAGACTATTGTAAGCCTATGTCAAAGTATGGGAGTTAAGATCATCTTAGCGCTAAGATCGCTTTGTGCAAGTGGACCCTGATCTCAAACTATCATAATCCATTGCAGTACCTCTGTGCAGAGACAAAGGGTATATCCGCTACGGCATCTCCCAGAATACAGAGATGGGCTATCATCAAATCTGCATATCACTACTCCTGCATGTCTCACCATACAGTACATAAATGATGTTAGATTTAGCGTAAATAGTGATGTTTGATAAGACCCCACCCCCACCCCCACCCCCACCCCCACCCCCACCCCCACCCCCACCCAACCCCACCCCGGTTATAATATGGATATTTTATTTGTATTTAGTCATGTCCGTCCAGAAGGCTCATCTTGGTATGACGTCAAAGACTGGTGAAATGGAGCGGAATTATTATTGAACTTATTACTTTGTGTGCTCGAAGAGGATACATCGGTATCCGTTTTGATGTTTGGAGACTTTAACAGCAGAACTGTCAAAGACGACGATTACGTCATCGACAATAGTACGTGTTATGTTGAAGGGGATGATCATTTTCGTGACGGTTCAACTCCATTTGAAAACCAGGATTTTCCTCTGACCTCAAGATAGAACACGTAAGGTTGATCCCCACTTGAGTTGAGTACCCTTCTCGACATACATGAACTAAATGGAAGATTTGGAGTAACATCAGGTAACTTCCCTTTCATCGGACACTTAGGATGCAGTGTTATAGACTATGCTTTAGCATCAATAAAATCTTTTTCACAATATTTCAGAATTTAAAATAATATCTGAACATTTACCTGTCAAGGTGAGTATTAAGCACGACAGGATTGTCATTTCCACCTCTACTGGCAAACAGTTAAAACAAATACATATCTGGACTGAAAAACGTAGTGAATCCTTTGTCACAAACATGACATCACATATTATCATTGATATGTTAGAAAACGCAGCAGGACAATCATCATAGTGTGGATTCTTTGGATCAGTTCGGGTGTTGCTGACGTCACAGGCCTTCCGGGACGGGGTTGTCTTCAAGGCTCTCCCAATCACGCTCAAAGGGGAAGTGATCTTAAGCAAATCTCCAGGACTGGTTGTTGCCTTTGTTATTGTTTTTTTTCCCGTGAGTACCCGGATGATATAGCAGAAACCTAGACTAGTTCGCGACCTGTGCTGCGCAATTCGTAAGCGCATTTGTCACTTTTATTAATAGTATAGGGGCGCATGGTCACATTGATCAACAAAATGAAATACAGTTTTGGAAATAATAAGGAAATGTAGGAATCTTTGTGGGTTTGCGTTAGTAATGGTGACGTCGTTTTGATAAGTCACTTGTTTGGTAATCGTGCAATTTACACTATTTTGACTTGCAACACAAAGTAAATATTTCTCCTCCTTATTTTATTATTAGATACATCATAGGTTAAAATGTTTGATCTTGTTCTTTCAAGAGATCCTTTCATGGTCATTTTTCCTTTTGCATCCATTTTATGAGGAACTGGTATCTTTTCTTTTTGGGGGAACCACAGCTGACTCCATGAAGAGACAAATGATGATCACAGTCGTTGTGAGCAGGAGAATGATGACTCTAATTGCACACTTGAGACCCATCATGTTATTTCTGCAACATTAAAGTATTTATACAGATTGACAATTACATAAACAAACATTCTTTGTATACATAGATTCCCTGTTTATCATCCCCCACCTCGAAGTGTGATAGGGGATATATACTTTCCAAATGTAGGGGGTTATGAAATAAAAATGTTAATAGTATTAGAACATTGACAAGTGTTGACGACAAACATCCTGAGAACGTCTATGTCTTTCAACCTTAACACCAAAACACATCCCATAGTTTGCACGTGCCTGACGCAGTAGCACCACACATGCGAAGGGTATCATTCCTGGTTTTGACACTTTCAAGGAAGGTCGATTTATCTCTGTGA